GATGTAGAACATCACGCACAGAGCGTGGGCAGCAGTGCCAGTGCCTCGAGAACTCCAGCATCCATTTCAGCGCTGTTTCACCTGAAAACCTGCTAAGGATCTTTGGTAAGTACTGAGCAAACTCTGTTTTGCTGTCAGAGGGTGACAAAGGCTGCTGGAATCAGATCTTTTGATGCCCCATGGACACAGAGCTCTACGTTGGCTGCTTGTCCATTTGCATTTGTTCAAATGGAGCCGCCCCGAGCGCTGTCTTTTTTCCATTTCCTATCCCTGGCCACTTTCCATTACCCATGAAAGCTGCAGCCCTGCCCTTTTCACAAGGGTGACTGCCAAGACTGTTGCATCATAACTGCCAAGCCCTGCTTTACCTGTGTTAGTGCTCCATTCATACACTGTTTGCTTTGGGTAGAAGCACATGCCCACAGGGGAGATTTCCTCCCTCCTGTATTTAGTTTTTTGGACACTGATGATGTTACTACAGTGTGTTCATCGCGGGCTTGTCTCTATCCCTTTCTGTATCTGCTTAGTAGGGGTTTATTCCCACTGTTATCCTGTGTTTGGGACTTGAGACCAGGAAAGCTTAAAGGAAGGAAGTTTAAAGGAAGTTCAAAGAAATATCCCCATAAAAAATGAAGGGGAGTGGATGTTGTCCTGGGTTCTATGTTGTGTTTGTCAGTTTATCCTTGGTTCCTACCAGTGTAAGGGGAAATCACCCAATTGTGCCAGCGAATGCCAGCTGAACATTGTGAGTGACGTGCCTGGGGTAAGCTGACACTACCAGGGCAGAGCAGATAATTGAAGCTGGACCCAGTGTTACCTTTGGGAAGCCTCATTTCTCTTGGAAAGCCCCTGGCTGTCAGCTGGTGTTACCTTCACCTGCTGGCCTGGTTGGAGTGCCCTGGAGGGAAGGAAGCTCACCCAAATAGCTGGGCTGTGTCGTAGGAGAGGTCCCTAGTGGAGATGAAGGTGCGTAGTACTTTGTGAGAATACCCTGTGAAATGGCAGCAAGCATCTCTTCCACTTCCACCAAGGAATAAGATAAAAAATAGTACCCTCTTACACTTGAGGTCTCCGCAGCATTCTGGCTCCCATTATCCCAATTATGCAAAGCCCTTTTGAGTGGGGCTGCTGGGTCAGGCAGATTGTGGCACTTCAGATGGTGCTAGGATGCATATCCATAGAATAATTCCTCGAATCCCTCCTAAGAGCTGCCCCGTGGGGCACGCTGAGCACAGGGCTGCCCCGTTGCAGAGCTGCTTCCTGGCAGCACCCATACAGCTGCACCTTCAGGAAGATGCAGTGTGGTTGAATGTTTCCCAGGGCTGTTGTGCTGGTGGACCTCAAAGCTGTGAGAGCACAGCTTCATGTGAAGCACTTGGAGGTGCATGGAGGGATGCCAGCAGTCCCTCAGCTCCACGGGGGGCACTTCAGAGCAGAGGAAGAAAACCTGGAACTTGGGACAGCTGAGCTCTGCTCTTCTGAGAAATTGAGCAACTGCTGGGATTTGTCTTTTGCTGAGAAAGCGCTCAGTCTGTTGTTGTGTGCCAGGGTCTGTGTGGTTCTGGTGGGACAGTCTGTTGTGTCGGTTTGCTTTTGTAACCCATCTCACATTGGAAAGCATTTAAGCGTAGTAACTTCACTGCACTCGTTTGGGAAAGACAAATATTATTGCATGGTGAGGAAAGCAAAGCAGGGAGACTGTGACTAGAAGGGCTCTGAACCACGACTTCTGTGGGAGAAGATCTCAGCCGTGTTCTGTCTCTTGCCGAAGTGTTCTCTTGTTTTTACAAAGGCACCGCTATGTTCTTAAGGGCTAAATGCAAAAGCTTGTGTTGCTTTTGGGTTTTGAGCTGCGTGGAAGCTTTTGCCTTTTATGTACAGCCCTACAGCCCGACCAGCAGGCTTTGTACACAACCAGAAGGTGAAAAACGATCCCAGGCCGGCAGCCTGCTGGTTCAGCCTCCACTCTATTGTCAAAGAAACAGAATGCCTAAATGGGAAAGAGAATGTCCATGTTGCACCTCCAAGGGCTGTCTTCACTAACGGGAAAATGTGCTTTTAGATGTGTTAGCTCATGCTTTAAATATCCCTCTGTAAACAAGGGGAGGTTTATTTTTAGCTTAATCGCCGGTCAAAGTGAGTCCTGGATCCGCAGTTCTCTGCTCATCCTCCCTGCTAGGATTCACCAGGGGTGCTTCCAGCAGATGAATTATATCTGCTTGGCGTTGTCTGTTTTCCTTCCCATACAGTAAGTTGACCTTGCTGTCTATTTTAGTCCTTTTTCCTCCCCGTTTATCTGCACAGTGTTCCTCTCAGCAGATGTTGGAGGCAGATGTGCCCCAGCCTCCACTGCTCGGTGTTGCTGGACCTGGGGACGCGGTGTCTTTGCAGTGTGCCCTATCTCCTGAGCAGCACATGGTGAAGGCGTTGTGTGATAACGGGTTATATTTGGGGGAACGTGCCTGGTGTGTGTGCTGCTTTCCTCATCGTTTGCTTTCTGCCATGTGCAGTGCAGCCAGAATGCACTGTTCTGTCACCTGCAGCCTTGCTGCACTGGGTCCGTTCCAAGGCACCACCTTCCAAGCAGCCGTGCTCCTCTAAGTGCCAAATATGTGATTTCAAAAAAGAGTGTATCTAAAAATCTTCATTCTTTTAGTTTGTGTTGGCTCCTTTGCTTTTCTTTGTGAAGATTTCCAACTCTCTCCTTTTCCACCTTTATGGTCTCTTGTGTTCAGATGACTCGAGATCCATAAAGCTTTGCCAGGCGCAAAGTAAAAGCCGACAATCCTGAAAGCAGCTGCAGTGTTCTGGGACATGGCAGGGTGCTGCTCTGGGGCTGGTTGCATCCTTCCCTGCCCAAGGTTCCTCTACCAGCTTTTCCTGCAGCCCTTAGCTGAGCAGTTTGCAGCTCCTAAATCCTCTTCTGCTGATGCCTGTCACCTTGGTGCTAGGCTGTAGCAGGCTGTTAGGCCCTTGTGAATGAATGATGCAACTTGCTTCCCTTCTTGCCTATGTGTGCTCTGAGTCACCAGGAAGTCCTGTCGCTCTGTGACATTCATTGGAGCTGTGAGCCTCATCGTTGCTGTCAGATCCAGAAACTGGAGTCCCTGGGGACTGGGCTCTGCAGCCATCTGAGCACACTCATCAGTTCCAGCATGGCCATTCCCAGCCCTGCTGTGGGCTCCCTGTGCTTCTCTGAGCTCTTCCCAGTGTGGTCACTCAGGGTAAGGGCGGAGGCTGACTGCAAGCCAATATGACCCTTTAAAATGTCAGTGCTTGTTCCTCCTCCCATCGTTTCATTTCTCAGCATGCAATTCAGTGTGCAAATTCTCCTCGTGCCCTTTCTGGAAGCAGGACATGAGCTGATGAGCAAGAAAATAATCCTCTGTGCCACGAGCCAGAGAGCCAAGGCACTGCTGCTCCCTCCTACTGCCTCTCGTTGGGCTGGTGCCCACATCAGTTTGGGCATGGCTGTAATTTAGGGGTCATCTTGCTTCAGAGTAGGGACGTGGTGTGGTTTTCACTATGATGCTGTGTGTGTTGGGGATCTCGGGGCACGGTGCACTCTCACTGGGCAGTGATAGAGCCATCCAGCCACTGTATTTCTCCCTTCTACCCCATCAGCCTTCCTCCCCTCTGTCTGTAGCACACATGCAGCTTAGCTTGCTGGCAGAAGTCTGTCCCAGCAGTCCCCTGTACTGCAGGTAGAGCGCTGTGCTGATGGGCTGCCTCGCATCTCCTCTGATGAAGGCTGAAATACCTCCATCAAATGCTCTGGGCTTTAAAACATGAGCGTAGCCTGTGACCAGGAGAAACAGCTCTTTGGCTCTCTGAAAAGGTGCTGTGAGGAGTGAGAAGAGCCTTGCCACAAGGGCAGAGGCCAGAGCGAAAGGGCAATGTGTGACAGGCACATGAAGGAGTGCAATGGCCAGGCTGTATTTAAGCACGTCCCGTAATGGGACAGCACTTCTGGACTCTCTCCGTCCTGTACCAGCTTTAGAAAAGCTTGCCTGGCTCCCAGGGGGGTAAAAATACAAGCTGCAATCTGAGTGGGAAAGTCTCAGAGCCCTGGGGGGGAGAAGCCTGTGGCTAAAGAAGGCAAGATGACGTCTGTCCTGCTGGCTGTGGAGGCCTGCCATGGGCACTGTGCTGACACTGTGCAGGGAGTGAGGGGTGACATCCAGCACGTGGGGCAGCAGCATTCCCTGCGTGACATTTGCCTGTCTCTGTGACATGCTCTGGCAGTGGCTGTGACAGTCTGTGCGACCTTCCTGGCACTATGGGGGGGTGTGTGTCCAGTGCAGGAGGAGAGCTTCCTTGGGTTCATGGGGTTCTCTTCCCATTTGCCCCGCTGACCTGTGGGCTTTGTTTGTTTCACAGCTCGCTGAATGTGTCAGGTCTGCCTTCTTTTCTTTCATGTTTAGGCAGCACAAAGTGGCCCTGATGGCCTCTTAGGTGCTATTGTTAAACTGGGAACAATACATCAGTTCTGGAAGCTGACCAGCCATCTCTATGATGTTTCCGCACAACTACAACATCAATTGCCTGGGCAGGGATTGCAGAGGACTGCTTTGATGCCATTGGCCCCAGTCACCACTTTTATTTAGATGCCCTCAGAAATGTTCTTTCCGATGCAGAAGGACGATTCCTCGTCCCTAAAAGCGCGTGCTTCATTCACACTGCTGTAGAAACCCAGCACAGAATGGAGGAGGATGGAGAGCAGTGTGTGACAAGTTGCTATTTCAGGCCCTGGGCAACGCAGCTCAAAACGTGACGTTTGGTACCCAAAATTCGGCCTATGGTTGAGGAAGATGGCAGTGCCCTGAGAACCCCAAAACCAACACACAGAGCTGCAGCTGTGAGCTCGGTGGAGTGCATCTGTTTATAAGCTGCTCCTCGAGTTTGTTTGGGCTGTAGCAAAAAGCAAATGCTGATCTGTCCTGATTTGTTCTCGGTGCTTTGCTGAGTACTGACGCATCTGTCCCATCCGTTTCTTGCAGTGCTCCTCACGGCAGTGAACTGCTACAGCGTGAAAGCTGCTACCCGTGTTCAGGATGCCTTTGCTGCAGCCAAGCTGCTGGCGCTGGCTTTGATCATCATTCTTGGCTTCGTTCAGATTGCAAAGGGTGAGTACGTCTCCTTTTCCTTTTGAAGGTGGTGCGGAGTTGGAGCTTCAAAAAACCAAGTAGATAAAAATGGGAAGATAAGAAAAGAAGCCGAACATTTGCTTGCTTTCTTTTTTTCTTTCTTGCTTATTTGCCTCATGCAAGTATGAAACCCCCTTATAAAACCCCCTCAGACCTGCAGGAACGTTTGGTTTCAAACCCCTTTGATCAGCTAATGAGTACAGATGTGCTTTACTGGCTGCTTTTTTTAATTAGTTTGCTTTTATAAAAGCGACAGGCTGCCTGTTGAGGCTGTGGATGCCCCATCCATCCCTGGAGGTGTTCAAGGCCAGGTTATATGAAGTCCTGAGGTTATATGAAGTTATGGGCAGCCTGATCTAGCATTAAATGTGGAGGTTGGTGACGCTGCCTGTGGTGGGGGGGGTTGGAGCTTTGTGATCCTTGGGGTCTCTTCCAACCTGGGCCATTCTGTGAAAAGCAAAAGGAGTTTTCTCAGTGGCCTGCACAGCCCTGCTTGGTCAAAGTGGACGTATAGAAATCCCTCCCCTCTGTGCGAGGAGGATATGCATGTTGGTATTTTAATTCCTGTTTCAACTATGGGAGCCAGTGCTGTCTTTGCAGAATTTCTTGCTTTATCAGAGGTTTTCTTTTCTTCCAGCTCAGTGCCTGCACTCAACAGGAACATTGTTGAAGGCTTATCACAAAACACACCTCCCTCCTCTTCATATCTCCCTTGTTTTGCCGAACGTTTTTCTCTCTTAGAAGTAAAAATGAGCCTTTGTTGGTTCTTTCATGTTTTACAAGTGAAAGTCTTTACGATTTTGTTTGTTTGTTTGCAGATAATAATCTTAATTTGCGTGCTCAGAATCCCCTGCCCTCCCCCTGAGTCTTTGCTCCTCCTGTTGAGGCTGAGCCCTTCCCTGCCCCGGTTCTGTGGATGCAAATACATGTTGAGTCTGCATGCTCTTATCTGTAAACAAGAAAAGATTTTGGTCTTGTGTATGTCCCATACCCACCTGTCCCATTGGCTCTTTACCTCCTGATAACTTGTCATCTCCAGTTCTTCTCCTCTCCTTATGTTATGCAGTTTTCTGGCTGCCAGCGATGCCTCTGACCTATGAATGGAGCCTTTTGTGCAGCTCTCTCCTGCAGAGCTGTCCTCAATGCTGCTTTCTCGTGCCCTTAGCTGACCTGGCACAGTGCACAGCCAGACAGGATCAGGGGCAGGGCTGAGCACGTGGCTTGCACCTTCTGTGCTGTCTCAGAAAGGCTGCTCTCAGCTGAAGCTGTGCTATGTATGAAGCTATTTCCCTCTGCATGCATCTTTGGGGTGGTAGTATGAAACCTATTACAGCTGCAAGTTTTTTGTAAGGTCTCAAGATCCTCTGAGCTGTATACATGTTGCCATACAGCTCCTTTCGTGTGACATTTGTTTTCCCTCTGCACCACGTGGCTGCTTAAAGCAGGGAGAAAACACAAGGAGAAGCAGTAGTTAGACCATAACATCTGAAGGCAAAGACTTCTTTCTGCTGTGTGTGCACAACACTCAGGATAAAGGAGACTGGATCAGAGTGGCAGCCTGGGGATGGAATGAGGCATTCCTTAGAGAGCCTGTATTTGTATGCAGGGACACACTGCTGCTTGTTTGAGCTATTTTGCAGCATGCTGCCTGGGTTTCTGCCCGTAGTCTAACATGGATTTTATTAACTTCCTAATGGAAGTTGCAAGCTCTCTGGTAAATCATTGAGAATATACCCTTCCCTTTAGTTTCTGCAGCTTTCTCAGCTTTTCTTCAATGATCAGCAGGGCTGGAGCACCTCTCCTATGAAGGAAGGCTGAGGGAGGTGGGCTTGTTTGGCTCAAAGAAGAAAGGGCTCTGAGGAGACTTCAGTGCAGCCTTCCAGTACTTGGAGAGCTTGCAAGCTGGAGGAAGACTGACTTTATACACTGTCTGATAGCGATGGGACAAGGAGGAGTGGCTTTAAACTAAAAGAGGGGAGATTTAGGTCAGGTTTTAAGAAGAACTGTTTTATTCAGAGGGTGCTGTGAGGCACTGGAAGAGGTTGCCCATAAAGGTGGTGGGTGCCCCATCTTTGGAGGCATTCAAGGCTGGGTGGGGTGGGATCCTGGGCAGCCTCATTGAGAGGCTGGCACCCATGGGATCATCTTTAGATCTTTAGGGTCCCCTCCAACCTAAGCCATTCTGTGATGGGATTCTGTGAGATCACACCAGGTGACTCAACGCTTCTGTATCAAGGATACATCGGCAGATTTTTCTTCTTATCATCACTTGCAGCATGTTGAAAACGGGGAAGCACTGCACTGCTTTCTGTCTTCATTACGATGAGAAAAAATGAATGCCATCTGTGAGACGAGGGAAATTTTAGATCAGGCTTTAGGAAAACGCTTTCAGCTGTACTGCAGAGCCCAAGTAGATGTCCAGCGATTTACAAGGATAGATTAATAGACATCTCTCAGGCCTTGTTTAATAAGGCAGACCTGCTTCGAAGCAGGGAGTCAAGCTGGTGCCTTGAAGCCCTCGTGTCTGCTTGGAGAGGTTGTGCTGCACGCTGCTACTACAATGCAGAGCTGCTGGATCTTCTCCAGCAGAAATACTAGAGGGCTGGTCTTCGGAAGTGCTGACACTTTGAAATGGATAACTTGCCTCTAAGAGGCCATTTAACCTCTCAGGTAGGTGAGTGATCCGAGCCCTGTAGCCAGCATCCTGCTTTTATTGCTCTCTTATCCCAGCCCGAATGCTCCTTGCACAAAGGGCACCCAGCACAGCCAGCTCAGTCCTACGCTGGTGGCTGCTGTTGGGTGAAGTGCACACTGAGCCCAAATGAGTTCTGTGCTGTTGGGTCTGGTGCTGAGATTTCAGCCATGGAAGGGCCGTGTGTTCCCATGACACTCATGGTGGTGTTGGAGCCCTGCTGGTTACTTCAGTGCTTACTTTCCCATTGCTGTTTTGTGTTTACGTATCCATAAACAGAAGAGGAGCAATCCCACGTTTTCTTGCTCAAATGTGGAAACTTCTGAGGCTTCACAGAAGCGTTGTCCTCCTCTGCACTGACCTCCCGCCTTCAGCTTTTGGGCTTTTCTTGTTATCCTTCCATTGAACATGCTCATTATTTCCCAAAAAGCAGCAACATCTCAAGACAAATAAGTGTGTGGCAATATTACCACACGGAACACAGGCTTTCCTTGTGATCTTTCTGCAGACAGCTGTTTTGTATCTTCTTTCATGCCAACTTCAAAAGGAGGGGAGAAATTGGTTTCCTACTTAACGCAGCCTTTCAACTTCTGGACAGTTGGCTCAGTATAATCCATCCCCTTGGGATGCACTTACTGCACCAACACAGGAGTTACACTTTTAAAAGGCTTTGTGTGATTGAAGTTGTGCTGCTTTGTAAGTTCAGTGTCCCAGACTTAGTGTGTAAAACCTTATATTTGCTCCCCCAGCTGTATCACCCTGCAGCCTGTCCCTCTTAGGCAGTGTAAACAACTTCCTGCATATGCAACATCAGCATTTTTTGCCCTTCCTCTTACTAAGAACTAGGCGTTGTTGTTCTTTTTTTTTTTTGATCAGCTCTCAGGTTGTCTTCTGTCCAGCCATCTCCATTGCTTTCTGACTGTGGTGTTTGTTGGATGAGCAGGCAGTAGGACTCAGCCGGAAGGAGCAAAGCAATCAGGGTGTGCATCCTTAGAGATTGGCACTCCTGCTGCTTACATGTGTGGAAATCCAGCAGCCTTCTCAGTGTCAGAAGTCTTGAATCACGTCTCAGAAAGGATTTTCAACCTTTTCTCATACTGAGGATTTGTCCCTTTCCCATCTCAGTGCCTGCTTCTGATCTTAGATCTCTTGTCTGCGCTGTCTCAAGCGCCTGCTATGATGGCAGCAGTCAGCATTATGCTGCCTGGCTCCCTTTGCTGTGCTTGTTGGAAGCAGAGCTGCGCCTGCTGAAGCAGCACAGGGTGAGCTAAGGACAAAGTGGGCACGTCCAGCTCCAGACATTTCCCATGCAGAATTTTGACGAGGCTGGGAATCTTGTTTGTGTCAGCCAGCGCTGGCGCTCCCTACATCAGTATTGCCCTTTGCAGATAGGGATTTAAAGGTGGCAAATTTTAAACTCAATGCGAGAGGGCTTCTGAAAGTGCAAAAATTAAGACCCAGCCAGGTTATTTTGCTAGTTCTTTCTCTAAATTTCTTAAGCTTTCCTTCCCTCGGGTCTTTCTGGGGCCCTGGGCAAGCTGGTCTACTGTTAGATATGGAGGTTGGCGGCCCTGCATGCAGCAGGGAGGTTGGAGCATCATGATCTTTGAGGTCCCTCCCAACCCAAGCTCTATTCTATGATTCCTTTGAGATTTTCTCTTCCTCTGCCAGTAGTAATAGCAGCTGAGTACCTAAAGAAAGCCCCTTAAAGCCAAATCCACACCAGGAGCTGGGGCTGAACTCGGCAAACAGCGGAGGAGGAGAGCAGCTCTGAGCACAGAGGGCAGGGCTGCCCTAGGTTTCCTTCTGACCAGTTCTCATCACCTCTTGTGTGCAAAACCAAGAGCCAATCTGATGGATATCGAGGAGGTGTCTTACAAAGAGATGCTTTCTCATTTTCTGCCCCATCCCTTATGACCTGCCTTACTGATAGCTGAGTTTGGATGCAGTGATGCAGGCAGGGTGCCTGTGCTCTAGGACCCAACCTGTGCCATGGGAACCTTCTGGAGATGGAGCCTGTGGGTGTTTGAGATGAGCTTGGAGAACAAAGCCAAGCCAGATGGGTGTTCACTCAGTTGTATGGTGACTAACTCGCACTGTAGATCCACTTCGGTGATGAGACAAAGCCTATAGATAGTAAACATTCCTCCAGCTTTTAATTGTACCTGTGCAAGTTGGGGCTGAGGCTTTTATACAAAAGATTGCAAGAAGAGTGCCCTGCAGCTGCCCGTGCTGTTTCTTGTTACATTGGCAATCAGAAATTCACGTTTCATTATTCAGAAAAATG